AAAAAAGTTTAGGCTTGTAGATTCCTTACAAGATTATCTTTCAAGATAAGTAGTAAAGTAATTGGCCCTTTCTCTATAACTGCAAAATGCAGCCTGCCAGTAAAAGACCCGACAAGAATACTCTGCTTGCCCGCACAGCTATTCTTTAGCAAGTTGCTTGGGTATGAATGTATGTGGGTTCAGGGGATAATTTGTCTTTCACCCGTTAATACATAAAATGTTTAATCATGTGAGGGAGATGAAAAACATGTTTTTACCTATGTTCATTCACTTGAGAAATGGAATACAACCGTTTTGACTCTTGTACTGAAAGATTCTGTTGGAATTTAAAATATGTGGAAAAGCATGAGAGGAAGGAGAGAGAGAGAGAGAGAGAGAGAGAGAGAGAGAGAGAGAGAGAGAGAGAGAGAGAGAATAAAATAGAGAACCACCAGGAGAGTTTGTGAGTTCCTCTTTCCCTAATCCCCCTCAGAAAAAACTGCCCTGACCCACCCCCACCCCCACAGCTGGAAGGAAGACAGATGTTGATACCGGGGAGCAGGGTATTCCTGTGGCTTCAAGCAGAATGTGGGCTCTGCAACCCCGGACTACAAAATTGGTTGAACTCTTTAAGCTGGGTTTATGTGCATCCTAGTGGAACATGGGAGACAGCAGCGCTGAGAATGATGTAAAATTATGAGGACCCAGCCCAAGTTTCAGACGGGAAGAATATTAGTGGCCTAAGGGCCATTCTTGTGATATTTTGACAAAGAACGCAACTGCTGTCTGCCCTTGTCCAAAAAAAAAAAATATGACCGAGGCTAAAATGAAGAGTTTTGGATTAATGGTGTGTGTAGAGGAGGAGATTTAAAGTCAGCCTACTGTTGACAGAGCTATTAACTCTGTATTCTTTAGCAATCACTTACGCTGGTCTATCATGAAAAGGAACAAGCTGGACAAAGAAAAACACAAACTGTCCAGCGTGAGGGGAAAATGAGCACCGGAAGGTGTAACAAAGCTAAGTCCAGTGCTCAAGGAGATAAAAAGTTTAAAGAAAAGCCTGGTGGGCCTCGGTCAGGGGTGGGTTCTCGCCCCACCTGAAGGATCCCCTGTGGCCTCCTTTCCTCTGCTCTTAGCTCCCATTTCCCTGTGGACACCAGAAGCTATCTGAGATAGCGCTGCCTCCCGGGCGGGATTAGAAAAGGGAGGGGAGTGTAGAGAGGAGGGAAGCCCCGAGAGAGCACACAGCGCTTGTTCTTTGTAACTGTCCCGCTGAGGTCACTCACCCAAACGCAGCTCCGTCATCGCTCTGCCCGCACTTGCTCCAGCTCGCGCAGCCCACCACGACGACGACAGCAGTGTCAGGTGACGGGTGACGGGGGAGGGACCCACTTGGGAACACAGACCCACACCCCAGGCTTCCTAAGACAGCCGTTGGCCAGAGGTTGGGCTGATACCGAGAAGCTCCGCCCCTCCCGGCCTGTGGCGTCCAGACCATTACCCTAGGGCACGCAACCAGCCTAGGGACACGTACACCGGTGCCCCTCCCATTGGTGCCTACCCCAGAGCATCCTGAGCCGTTCCTGCCTAGGGACCCTCAGCTTCTTACAAGGCCATTAACACTAGCGCCCGGTTACACACTGCAACTCCAGTGCGCAGGACTCAGACGCACCCCTCGGCGTCTCCAGACCCATGGTCCTGTCCCAAGACCTAGGCTTGTCCTCTGCCTGATAGGATCTCTGGGCTGGATGCTGACACTGTACCCTGCGTGGAAGAGGGATGGGTCCTGCGTAAATACCATGGTGCCCGCAAGTTCTCTTTTCTGGCTGGTGCTGTTTCCAGGTCTGTTGGAGTCCTCTTCAACCTCTTCTGCTTTGTGTTCTCCTGATCCAGGTTTAGCAGGTGAGAACACAGAATGACCCAGAGGTGACAGGGTCGAGCAGAATGGAGTTTGGTGCCCCCATATCTTTTTTTAATTCATGTTTCTTACTCCTCCGCCGTCTCTAATGCCTGTCAGCAAACTGCCTTCATCCTCCTACCCTTGTTAAGCCTGGGCCCCAGGGCCTCTGGGAGCCAGAATACTGAAGCCTTAGGGCCTTCTCATATCTCTCTACCTTTGCTTCTCTCCTAGGCTTCCTCCTCAGGCTTCCAGTACCTGGCTGAGAGCCAGCCGGCCTGCTCTACCACAGCTGACTTATGTCCTAGAAGACTCGAAGACTCAAAGCTGTGAACATACCTGCTCTTGCCAACCTGCTACATGGAGTCAGGAAGGCACCATTAGAATCCTAGCAAGGAATTTTGTAAGTATCAAAAGACTGATGCAGAGGTGGGAATTTGTCTCCGTTGGGAGATTGGCTCTCCTAGAGTTCACAAAGCCAAAGTTTGATCCCAGCACTTTGCAGGTGGAGGCAGGAGAATCAAGATTTCAAGGTCATCCTTAGAGTCCAACCTCTGTGTGTGGGGGTGGGGGTGAGGGGGGTTAACTTAAATTTTATGTGGGGAAGCAGACAGCTGACACAGTGATGAGGGATAAAGCCTTAGGACTCACACTACCTGATGCAGATAGACGAATGTACCAGAATTAAGAGCCCAGAAATAGACCCACAGATATCAGCTCTCTGGTCTTCAGCAAAGGAGGAATGTCAATACAGTGGAGAAAGGACAGTGCTGGATTGGTTGAACACCCACATACAAAACAAACAAGCAAAACACTGCCCAGCCTTCATAAAAGTTAATCCAGTACAGCTCAAAGACTTAACTGCAAATACAGTTCCTAGCGGACAGCTCAGGAGGAAATGGGACCATGAGAGCTTTGGTAATGACCTTTTAGATATAATACCAAAGGCAGGGTACATGAAAAAAATAATTAAAATTAATCATTAATTAAAATTAATGATTAAAAATTAATCATTAATTAAATTTTTATTCTCTGACAAAAGAGGAAAAACAAGCTATAAAGTGATTGCAAAAAAAATTATCTGACGAAGGACTATCATCCAAAGTACATAAAGAACTCATAAGATCTAACCATATAAGACCAGCCAACCCTACTGTGGTTACTTAATCACAATACTTAAAGCTACCTAACCATCAGCTTTCTAAGCTCTAGAATCAACTAAGACACATCTCTGGGAAGGCGGTTCCAGGAAGTATTGACTGAGTGGACAGCACCTTCCGGCAGTGGCCCAGAGAGAGAGGGTCCATGGCAGAGCCTTGTGCATGCTTTCCTCCCTTAGCTTCTCGCTGGTAAGTGTGTCTCTCTCGTGGCTGCCACTGCAGCATCATCCGAGAAAGAAACACATTTCACTGACTGCACTGTAAACATGGCAAAAACTGTCCAAAACATACCTAGACCTTCAAAATATTCCTGGCCTTTTGGAATCTTTCGTTGATTTCTTAGTTGCCTTACAAAAGTAGAAAGAAAGAGAGAGAGAGAGAGAGAGAGAGAGAGAGAGAGAGAGAGAGAGAGAAAGAAAGAAAGGAAAAAAGGATGGGTGGTTACTGAGCCAACAAAAAGAAAGTCTTTGTCCATTACAGGCAAGCACTGAGTCTAGGTGGGCCAGTTTCTGAAGATATGGGAAACCAAGACACCTGCAGAAGGACAGTAGAGATGGCTTGGTGGCTCCCAGACAGCTAATGGTAATTTTAACATGCCAAGTTCTGCACTTGTCGGCTAATCAATGGAAAACAAGTTTTATAAGGATGAGCGACCCCTTGTCTGTCTTCCTGTGACACCAGGAAATAGCTGCAGTTAGCAAAAACTCAGGGGATGTACTTGTTACAGAGTAAGGACCCAAAGACCACTCAGCACCACCAAAGTTCAAACTGGGTCTCAGTTAAGACAACCAGCAACTATCTGTGAAGAAACACTTCTTACAGAGCAGCCCCAATGTATGTTATGGGGATTTTTAAAGACAAAGATCACAGAAAACCACATCCTCATTGGCAGCTCCATGGAGAAGCAAGCAAGTAGTTGAACAAGAGCCAAGAACATGCAGTTGTTGGGACATTTCAACCCTGATTTTCTAGAATAGAGTTGGGTGCTTTCCCACGGGACTTTTCAGGACAGGGAGTAGAAACCAAAAATGACTTCAGCTGAGACAACATGGAGAAATCTTTACCCTGTTACAATAACCAATGGGCAATGGAATATTTCATTCCCAGTAGCAACCTCAGGGGGTGCAGGATAAACCTGCCAGCAGGTGGGAATGTGGATCTTATTATTGCAATGGGCATACAAGCAGTGCCTACAGGAATTTGGGGACCTATTTTCCCCAGGCACAGTGGGATTGAGGAGTCCAAGAATAAGAATATAACAATGTAGATTCCAAAAATGGGAATGTAGAAATAAATAAATAAAAGAATGTAGAAATAAAGTAAGCCTAGAAGAATGAGAACAGATTGTCAGCAGCTTTCTCAGTAGTTTGAGGATTAACTATTAACAGTGGGTTATTCTGTTTTTCAACCCATAGCTCTATTCACAAGGCCAAAGCATCTCTCTGCAAACTGAGAGCTAGCCTACAGGTATGAGCTGAGTCAACTTTTAGGAAATAGATATATGGCCTCTGGGTTACGCATTATCCCTGCTATGTGAAACTGGCAGCCTCAAAGGGAAGGCACAGGGCTTCAGTAAGCACTATCTGGAAGTACCAAGGAAGGCAATAGGTTAAGCACAAACATTAGTTTAACTGAAAAAAAATGAAGATTGTAACTGAAGAGTCCAAGAATAAGAAAATAAAAATGTAGATTCTAAAAATAAGAATGTAGAAATAAAGAAATATAAAGTTATAAGTCTAGAGGAATGAGAACAGATTGTCAGCAGATTTCTCAGTAGATCAAGGGTCAATCATTCACAGTGAGCTATTTTCTCAGACGCTTAAGAAGCCTCCATCAACCTAGGTCATTTCATTTTACAACTGGCTGTTCTATTTACAAGGCCAGGGCTTCTCTCTGCAAACAGAGTAGTGTCCTGGCCATCCTTGATGAATGACAGCTATGAACTGAGTTAACCTCTAGGAGACAGAGATACGAGACCTCTGGGTTAGGCACTGTCTCTGTTGTGAAAAATTGGCACCATTAAAGAGGAGAAACAGCAACAATGGTGCAAACACCTGGTTTGACTAATGAGCTCTGATAATGGGGGTTATAAAGTATGGCAGTCTGTATCTGAGTTTTACCATGAGATAGGGTGAAAAAACTTTCTGCTGTCTTCTAAGTTCCCAGCCTAAGAATCAATAATTCTGATTTATTAACCTTTGATATTACAAGCAGTTCCTTTTTCTGACTAATTGTTAAAAACATCTGTTTCCTTGCGGTTAGTGACTTTCGCTGTAATTCTCCTCTGGGACATATTTCATGATAACTGCCTAGTTACCCATTGACGTTAGAACCCACTTCCTTCTTCCCATTACCCCATATCTACCCCAATTGCTCCCCTAATAAACGAGACTTGATCAGAATCCTGTCTTGTCTCCATCTCTTATATCTCTTGTCCCTTTCAACTCTTTTTTTTCCCCCTTTCAACTCTTACTCCTCCCCCTAAGGATCTCCATTGACTGACCCGTAGGTTGGGGCAAGATTGTAAAAATTCCTTGTTTAGAACTTTAAATCTTTGACGAAAGAAATTGAAGAAGACACCAGAAAGTGGAAAGATCTCCCATGCTCTTGGGTAGGCAAAATTAACATAGTAAAAATGGCAATCTTACCAAAAGCAATCTACAGATTCAATGCAATGCACAGCAAAATCCCAGCAAAAATTCTTCACAGACCTCAGAAGAATGGTACTTAACTTCATACAGAAAAGCAAAAGACCCAGGATAGCCAAAAACAATCCTGTACAATAAAAGAACTTCTAGAGAAATCACAATCCCTGACTTCAAACTACAGTACTGAAAACAGCCTGGTATTGGCATAAGAACAGACACAGGACCAATGGAACCGAATAGAAGACCCGGATATTAATCCACACACCTTCAAACACCTGATTTTTTACAAAGAAGCAAAAAAAAAAATAACAAACAGAAAAAAGAAAACATATTTAACAAATGGTGCTGGCATAACTGGATATCAACATGTAGAAGAATGAAAACAGACCCATATCTATCACCATGCACAAAACTCAAGTCCAAATGGATCAAAGACCTCAACATAAAGCCAGCCACACTGAACCTCATAGAAGAGAAGGTGGGAAGTACACTTGAATGCATTGATTGGCACAGGAGACCACTTCCTAAATATAACCCCAGTAGCACAGACACTGAGAGAAACAATTAATAAATGGGACCTCCTGAAACTGAAAGGCTTCTGTAAAGCAAAGGACATGATGAACAAGACAAAACGACAGCCTACAGAATGGGAAAAGATCTTCACCAACCCCACATCAGACAGAGGTCTGATCTCCAAAATATACATAGAACTCAAGAAATTGGTCATCAAAAGAACACATAATCCAATAAAAAAGACCTAAACAGAGAACTCTCAATAGAGGAATCTAAAATGGCTGAAGGACACTTAAGGAAATGTTCAACATCCCTAGTCATCAGAGAAATGTAAATCAAAACAGCTCTGAGATTCCACTTTATACCTGTAAGAATGCCCAAGATCAAAAACACTGGTGACAACTTATGCTGGAGAGTGAAAGACCCTACAGACCCCCTCCTCAAAACCTGCAGCAGCCAGCCTGCTCTCGTAAGAACATCCCATGTGCTTGAGAGAGCAGGATGAGATAGGAAGACTGCAAGGCAGGACATCAACAAAGCAGGTTGACTGCAAAACAGGATATCTATAAGATAGGAACAGGATGACTTTTGCTGACACCCATGCTGAGAGAGGAAACCATTCATGCCCCCACCTCATTCCGATAACTACGCTTTTTTTGCTTCTGTAAACTTGCTTTTTGCTCTTCCCTATAAAAAACCTGCCCTCCAGTCGGCAGGCGTGCAAGTCCTCTGAAAGACTTTGCTGCCCGCAGGTACCTGTGTTTACCCATTGCGATTTGCATCCGTGTGGTCTCGGCCTGTTCCTTGGCATGGGGAGGTCTCCTCCTGAGAGAAAGTCCTCTTCGAGGGTCTTTCAGAGAGGTTGCGGGGAAAAGGGAACATTCCTGCATTGCTGGTTGGAGTGCAAGCTGGTATAACACCTTTGAATGTCAGTGTGGCAATTTCTCAGAAAATTAGGAAACAACCTTCCTCAAGACCCAGCAATATCACTTTTGGGTATTTGTCAAAAGGACGCTCAATCATGCCATGAGGACATGTGCTCAACTATCTTCATAGCAGCTTTGTTTGTTATAGCCAGAACCTGGAAACAACCTAAATGCCCCTCGACCGAAGAATGAGTAAGGAAAATGTGGTACATTTACACAATGGAGTACTACACAGCAGAAAAAAAATAACGACAGCTTGAATTTCGCAGGAAAATGGATGGAGCTAGAAAACATTATTTTGAGTGAGGTAATTCAGACACAGAAAGACAATTATCATACATACTCACTCATGGGTGGTTTTTAAACATAAAGCAAAGAAAGCCAGCCTACAAACCACAATCCCAGAGAACTTAGACAACAATGAGGACACTAAGAGAGACTTACATAGATCTAATATACATGGGAAGTAGAAAAAGACAAGATCTCCTGAGTAAATTGGAAACATGGGGACCTTGGGGGAGGGTTGAAGTGGGGAGAGAAAAACAGGGAGGGGAGCAGAGAAAAATGTAGAGCTCAATAAAAATCAATTTAAAAATTCCTTTGTTCAGACCTAATGCTTAGTGCCCGTACTATAAAAAGGTGGATTCAGAAACTGGCCTTTTGCCAAAACCTAACAAACACCATTTCTGGCTGTGGTCTCAGCTAGCTGATAAGCTTCTGTGCCCCACGGTGTTATTTATTTTTTTTATTTTTAAGTTTGCTTCTGGTTTTTCTGGAATCTGGTTTCTGGAATAAAGTCTGCTTCTGGTTTTTATTAGATTTTGGTGGTCTGTCCCCATCTTTGTGCGACACCCCCGGAACCAACAGGATCAGGTTTGGCAGAAGGTAGTCTACATTCAAAGGGACTCACTGCTGTTCCTGGTGTAGTTGAAAAAGATAATAGTGGAGAAATTAAGGTACTTATGTGTCAAGGGTTACTGAGTACCAGCCTCAGCACTCTCTCGGGGTTCATAACAGGACATATAGGACAAGCAAAGACTGAGTTGGGAACGGATCTGAGGGGTAAAACAAACTGACTGACTTAGGCACGTCTTTCCTACACGTTTCTTTATTCCTTGGGGGAAGATGAACATTAGGCCATAAGGCATAAGGGCAAAGCATCAGACATAAGGGTACAGCATAAGGGTGATCTCCACAAAGCTTTCAGTTTAATAGGCACACAGACAAGTTAACAATACCATAGGTGGGAACAGTGATATCAAGCATGCATTTTCACAGGGTCACAAGGTGGATCTAGCAAGGAGGCATCAGAGGGGGCGTGGCTGTGAAGTTTCCCCGCAGTTGGGAACACAGCCTTGGCAGCTGTTCTGACCCAAAGACTTGATTTGCATTAGCGTCTAGCTGGTTGAGTTAAAAGGAATCTCTTCTTTTTACTCCAGCAGGGTGCCCAGGTGAGAATTTTTTCTCTCTGAAGCTAGTTTTAGCGACTCAGGCCTTTTCCCTGTATAAACAGTTAATTTCCTGGGCTATGATCTTATGTTAATTGAAACCAAGGTAAAGGGTAAATACAGAATATTAGTACCTGTGAAGTCAGAGCAGAAGACCAGGAGAGTCCACCTTCCTGAGCCTGCTGTTAGAGCAGACATATTACCTCCTGTACGAGGCTGTTAGAGCAGACATATTACCTCCTGTACGAGGCTGTTAGAGCAGACATATTACCTCCTGTATGAGGCTGTTAGAGCAGACATATTACCTCCTGTATGAGGCTCCTTTCTTATCAGTGACTACTGTCAATAAAGAAAGGCTGTGGGGGACTATTTTTATGTAGATTTTGAGTATGAGAATGAGGACTTGACTGAATCCTTTTCACACCATGGCTTCATGGTGTGGGTGGAGGTATCCAGCTGCCCTACAGAAAAAGTCGGGTTTATACACTGCTGGGATACTATAGAAGGGAGAAACGCCATGATTTCACAAGATTTTCACACAATTGACAGTGACTTCTCCAAAGGACAGATGTTCTTGCAGCTCTGCAAAAAACAGATTCTCCAGACAGGGTGTATGTATACACTTCCCGTGGAGAGTCCAGTAGATCTGTCAGCTGTACATTTACTGTATAACACTTGTGGGCTCACCACACTTACGTCTTCAAGAGGAACGTTACCTATTGACAAGCCCTGAAAATCTCTATTCCTCCATTGCAGTTACTACCTTATACCCATGAACTAAAGTTTCTGAAAAGTTTCTGCACCCTAATAAACCTCTCCGTCAACACAATAATCCAAATCAAACTAATCAAACCAAATTAGAAAAAGCCCGGGTTTAATGGATACCAGTGCTCCTGAATGACCTTCCCCAGAGAAGAGACAGGGAAGGAAGACCAGAGAAAGACAAGTTTGATCTCTGGGATACAATGTAAATACCCTATGGGAGGGGTGTTGAGCATCTCTGGGGAGGGGTCATTGTTTGGCGGGCTTTCTCAGAGGTGGAGTCTGGACTGAGGCAACTCCCAGGGAAGGGGGCTTGTAATGGGACTTCCACCCAAACATCCCAGACTCTTTGAGTATATAGGGGCACCAGCTCAAGTCTGACTACTTCCTGTGGGCACAGGGTGACATGGGGAGGGGACAGTAGGGAGTTGGTGGGCTCACACTAAGCAGGAGGTGTGGCTGGAGAGGCATCCAGTTAAATGCAATCTTGGAGATCCCAGGCATCTGTTCCTTGAGGGAGATGAGAAGGCAGGTTGCTAGGAGAAAAAAATAGATTGTTATTACCAGCCCTATGAATAGGGCTATCCATGGGGAGAGTGATTAACTGCCAGAAAGAATAGGACAGAGAAGTGTCCTGGTTGCACAGCAGAGGCACGAGTGAAAAAAACAAGATATGCCCTTTAAAACCAGATTTTAGTTGTTGGGTAGGTGTCCATTTGAGCCAGGAGAGGTGGTACCAATGGGTGAAGTCCCAGGAGCTGGTGCAGGTGCTGACATTATCTGGAGAGCCCTCTATAAGTTGGTTTTGGCCCAGACAGCAAGAGTGACCTGTAAAATATGCTTGAAAATGGGTGGGTTTCAAATAGGTTCTGGAGACTTAGTTTTTTACCAGACCAAATAAAGGAAATTTGAAACTCTGAACCTCTAAAGATACACCTGAAGCCTATTAATCCTGGACTATGAAACCTGTGAAGGAGGCACACCTGTCTATATTTTTAGCAGGAAACTTAACAAAAGAAGTAGTATTACCAGTACCTTAAGTCATCCAATGCCATCAGACAAATCTGAGCGGGATAAATAAATGAGTAGAAGCGAGACAGCTTTTCTCAGTTTCACAGGCAATCCCAAGTCTCACCATAGTCTTTAGCACACACCAGTCTTAAAAGCAGTACTTGCATTTAGCTGATGGGACCAGGAGGCCCTAAGATTTTTCTGTGCAGGTAGGGTTCAGTCTACCTATCTTGGTAGCATGAGATGTTCGAGGCCCGGTGTAGTATCCAGGAAGCTGATGAGGTGGAAGGCAGCTTTTTGTTGTGTGAGTGGCTTTGCCATACCCAAAGGCAAGCCTCCAGGTGGAAGATCTTCTGCAACCATGCATCTTCTTGGAGGAGCTACAGGATGCTGCAGGAGCTAGCATGTCTCTCTGTCATATGAAGCTCTTTTGTTAAATGCCATACTCTCATATCTGTAAAGGTACTTGAGAGTCAGGGTACCATTACCTGTCAGGTAGAAGGAATATTTTAGTAAGCCAAAGTATATTGGAGGCAGAATGTCTCCTTGGTAGGGCTGGAATACATGGATATTCTTACCAAAGATGGCACTGAGGTTTTTACTTTGACCTCAACCAAAATGGCAGCTATTCACATGTTTGTATTTTTCCAGAGCTGTTGTAATCTGTCATTAGAAGTTTTACAGATTTTAAAACAAGCACACATACACACAGAGACATAAGACAAGCATACTGTGGCCACATTATTTATACATATGTATTAACAAACAGACAAAACTTTTTCCAGGAAACTGTTGTCAGCTGACCAGCTTAAAATCCTGGTGTAGGCTGCAGAAGACAAGCAAGCACAACAGGTGATCCCATTAAGGATCAGATTAGCAGATGCTGTACAGGAGAAGAGAAACATAAGGACAGAACACCTATGCAGCTTAGAGTGGGAGGACAGGAGACCAGACCCATTGTAGGGAGAATCCCAACATGAACAGATTACATGCCAGGAATACAAACAGCAAGCAGTGAGAAGAGCAGGGAGGGGGAAGGGAAGTGGAAGCACAGCACCCAGAAACCATGGGCATATGGGGGCTTGTTTACTTGTTTATACACTGGTAAAAAATTGAGGCGTTAAGGACATATGGTGTCAGATAGCCTCAATTTAAAAAGATTTTGTTTTGTTTTGTTTTGCTTTTCGAGACAGTTTCTTTAAAAAGATTTTGTAAAAAGCAACCCAAGGGCACTTGAAGATCAGGCTTCGAATTGTACATTTCGCAAGTCTATGCTGAACCCAAAGCCTAACACAATGCATCCATTGTGGTAGACTTTGGGTCAAAAACACAGTATGTTATTAGTGGTCTTGGGAAGGTTATCCTCTAAACTTACGCCAGGAAAATAAAACTGATTGCACCTTTTCAATAGTTGAGACTTATTGGAGATGCACACCTCAAAAGGTACAGCTTCAAATATCATCCTTAGAAACAGGAAATAATTTTTGAAAACTATTGTGTGATATTAACTATGTGAAAGACTCCTACACATTTTCACAGGTGATTACCAACCTCTTTTTATGTTGCTAATGGAGGTTCTGACCTAGCCTCTTCGAGTATCCTCACTTCTAAGTCTCACGCCCTGTGTAGAGATTGAGAAAGCTAATCAAAATATTCAACCGATAGAAGTTCACTGTGACTTAATTGTATCCCTTTATATTTTGAATACACCTGTACTTCCTACAGGAATGTTGGCTCAATTGACCCCTGTCCTAAGCATCCTAAAAGAGACAATTGTGCCATCTCAACGCCAAAGGACTGTTACCCACTTACATTAACTTAGTTTTGTGTCACACAGGAAAAGGACATAAGCAGTCAATTCAATTATGGAAATCCAGGTTTTATTGTCTTTTTTGATGCCTCCCAAGTTACTTCTTTATATGCTTTTGGTCCCTCAGAACAAATACAAGTATCCTCTTCTACAGGACAGATCTTACATCATTACCCAGAGAGAGGATTCTACAATTCCCACAGCACACCTCTCTTGTTGTTCATATGCCTCCTTCCGTCCTTGTTCTGTTTTCTGTTTTGCACAGGTCCATGGAAGAATTAGGGTCACTCTAGGAGCAAAAGCAGCAGGGTGATTGGTTTCTGATGAACTGACTGCCTATTGCTTAGCAAATAAAAAAAAATGCTTTTTTATTATTACACAATTTACACCTTTAGCAATTTACACCTGATATCTTATCTGGAGTTGTTGAAGGAACAATTTGCATAAGCAGTTATCAGTCATGAGACCTCCTGGTTTTCCAGGTTTTCTCATAACTAAGTCTTACAAAGACCTAAGGTCCTTCAGGTTTCTATTTAGCTTATCGTGGCTGGCTCCTACAATCATTGTGCGCCTATCTGTTCATGTGACACTTAGAATCCTCCTGAGACATCCATCTCAAGCACATTCAGTCGCTGTTCTGAGGAGCATTTATTGTCCAGGCTTCAGAGTTGTAAAGAAAGCAGCTCAAGACAAGCAGTAAGATCTCCTCCATTATCCTGCAAAAGATCAAGGGTTGAACAGAGGAAATCCTAGCAGAGACCCTAAGTGGATTCAGAGCTAACAGAAACACGATTGATCTTCACGTTGAGGCAACTGGCAGAAAAATATGAAGAATTTGGAAAAGACTTATATGTTAGGAATATTTCTTAACACAAGCTCCCCGCCGACGCAAAATTCCCAATCATGCCAAATTAAACAAGCCAAATTAAAAAATATCCAGGTTTAATGGGAGATCTGCGCCCTCGGGTGGCCCCAAAGGGGAACCAGGAAGCCGCAAAATGCGAAAACGGGGAGGAAGAAGGGGAGACCACGTGTTCCTCTTTCTGGAGATCACTTATGTACCCTGGGGAGTGGTCCTGACCCCCCATCCCCAGGGAGGGGTCAGGATCTGGCCTGCTGGGATTTGGAGTCCAGACCAGGCCTGGGGGCTGGGATAGATGCAAGGGACTGGGGCCTACGCTCCCAACTTGACATTATATGTCTGTTACATCGACTTCAGGAAGGCATTCGATAGTATTTGGAGGAAAGGATTTTGGGAAACAATGAGGTACCCAGAGAAAATTATAAGAATACTAGAAAATGCCTATAAAGATACCTCTGCATCAGTCAAAGTCTGTGGAGAACTGTGATCAGTTTAAGACAACCATAGGAGTGTTGCAGGAATGCATCCTCTCACCACTATACTTTAATATATTCCTGGAATTAATAATAGCAACACCCTGGAGGATGAGGAGATAGATGTGCAGATAGGTGGGGAGCGAATCAATAAATTGTGTTTCGCTGACGATACATCACTACTTGCTGAAAGTCCAAATGAGCTGCAGGCCTATGTACACTCATGGTACACAGAGTGGTGGAAGTCGGTGAAAACCTCAGTACGAACATAAACATCGAAAAGACTGAGATACAACACATAGGAAGGGGTGCACAAGGATTTTAACATTGTAATAAAGAAACAGAACCTCAAACAAACAGACAACTTTGTCTATGCTGGAGGAAACCTCAGTTCAAAGAAGGAAATTATTTCGGACATCGGAGACGGATAGGGATAGCAAGGGCTGCATTCCAGGCACTAGGAAAGGTTTGGTCAGCAAGAGACATAAGGACAACAACAAAATCCCAAGTATTGCCTGGGACCCACACACTTTTAATTTACCTTGGCCACAGCTCAGCGAATGCTGGGTCACTGTCTTGCTCCATTTGTTGCTCTAGGAGTTTCTCACATGATCAAAACAAATAAGGAACCTATATATTCTCCACAAGCTTTCCTAACTTTCGTTCCTTTCTAGGTATTCCTCACAAAACTGACGTCCCTGGCAACCCCGCAGGACAAGCTATTGCTGAGCTGCCCAACAAACTATTAAGACTACAACTTCAGAAAAGGAGTGGGCCTAATCCCTCAGACCCATTGATTTATTATCCCTAGCAGGAATAACCCTTTTTTTTTTCTATAGGCAATGATGGGTCTTCTTCTGTAACGGCACTGGGCAGCATCTTTCTCTCATTCTGACCCTTACCCACAGGCTTTCCACAGGATGACACAGGAAAGACCCTCAAGACCTTCTGTCTTGGGGTGTGGGGTATGCCTCTGTCCAATCCTGGCCCAGCAGAGCCTCCCACGGAGGCTGTAAAATGTCTTTGGCTGAGTACTCTGACCCTGGCCTGGGGGGCAAGGAAAAGAGACATAAAGTGATAAGGGGGTGCAGGAAGTAAAAGATCTGGGCCAGCCTTTCCCCCTGTAAGTCTGTCCATTGTGAGGGTCTCATCTTCTCCTCAGTGGGTTCTGTTAATGAGCAGACTCACTGGGCACATATTGCTAAACCTTCTACCATTCATCCTGTCCCTAGGATTGCTGCTTCCTGAGTATAGTTTTAAATAGTGTGGAACCCTGACCCTTACTTGCCACAATGGCCGTGGATGGATTTCTTTACACTATTGGTTTTATACTCCCCCTCCAGTATATGTTGCTGCTATTAAATCCTTTAGTTATCACTTAGACAGATTGCAACTCTGCTTGCCTGTGTACCCAGAAAAGATCAGATGGCTATGCTAAAATTTATAACAGATTGGGCATCTGAGCCGGGGATCCTTACCAAGGTCATTTATTCTCCAAAGAGACCTTCTTGTTCTGATCGTAGGCAATGAGACCCCACAGGTAAGCGTTTAAAATGGTCTGAGTGTGCTACCAAACATCCTTGTAATAAAAACAGGGCTAAAAGAGAGGTGACAGATTAGGGACCACACAGAGAATTGGGGAGTGAAGAAAACTGGATGTTTGGACAGAAACTCACAATATAAGTGAATCAGTCTAACCACAGAGTTAGTCATCCCAATAACACTATGAAGTGGGCTATGGGTGGGTTACCCCGTCCCCCACTCAGGATAGAATTTGGAACTATTGCAAGACCATCTCTGGAGGTTGGGGGTGGTAACAGTATAGAGATTATCACTAAATTACAACTCAAAGCTACCCATTTAAGTAACGGTCTGTGTCCGCACGTGTGCTTATGCTCAGGCGTGGGCTGGCCCTTCCATGACCATGTGCAGGCACTGAAACCCTAAGCTTAGTTGATTCAGGGAGAGCCTTGTGTTGTAAATGACTCTGTTCTCCCCCTGCTGCTCTTTTACATCTTGACTACTTATTTTGGCTTTTCCTACACCAAGACGCATAGAATAGGTAAAAGTGGAGCAGTTTAGGAACATAAAAACTCAAGCAGCGGTGATCGGTGACCGAGAGTAATAAGAGCTGTCAGAGCTGAGCAGGACGGAAAGTAGGGCAGACAGGAAACTGAGCTCTGTGACAACAAATGGAGACGTGTCCTCCACCTCGCTCCCTCCCGAAGCCACCCCATTCCTTGCCTGGCCTTGCTTGCCTTTGTAGAAAAACTTGAATACTCTGCCCAGATCAGGGCCCCAGCCTTTCTCGCATCTGCTCATTCCCCTCTGCCTCTAACCCAGCTTCCCTGGCACCTGGGCAGCCCTGACCTGGTTCTCTCTTCTGTCCTCTGAGAGTTTACCCTCCGGCCACGACTGGCAGTGGAGGACAAACTGGCTCCCCTGGGCCTCCAGCCCTCCACACACCCCTGGTTTTGCTGCTCTGGTCACTCCTCTGCATCATCTTTGCTCCCCTGACCCCACAGCACCCTCAGTGCTCTCTGGATCACCCTGACCCCCTACACACACACACACACACACACACACACACACACACACACACGTCCACTGCCTGACCCTGGGTTACAGCTTCAAAAGCACAATTTGTTTTCTCTCTCAGCTGCCACCTCATCCCAACTCACATCCCAGAAACTGAACCATCCTGGGCCCTGCCATGAGTGTATGGGAGACCTGCAGTACCCAGACTGCACAGGGTACTTGCCATGCCTCAGTTTCCCTTGTTGGAGGATAGGGGGCAGCACTGGTCTTTCACCACACCCCAAACTCACCTTGTTGACCTTAATGTGAATGTGTTTAAAGACACTGAGCTTTGAACTTAAAACTGCTAAGATTGGCCAGTAAGATGGCTCGGTAGGTAGAGCCTTTCTGTATAAGCTTGACAGCCTAAGTCTGAGCTCTGGAGCCCAGGAGGTAGAAGGGAAGCATCTCCACAGAGCTGTCCTCTGACTGCCACATACAAGCCCGAGTGTACACATTATACACAGAAATAAATAATAAAACTCTATCATCTTTGTTATGGGGAGGGCTACAATTAAGCTGGTAATTTTGTTATTTGTATTTTACCACAGGGAGAAATAAGTTTCTTTCCTATTTAAGGTGATTAGCTGTTAAAAGCCAATACTCAGCATCCTCTCTCATATTGGAAAACTCTGGTGTGTGTGCCTGTTAATTCTATCATGCCCTTAACCTTTGTGCTGATTAGGAATTAGCCAATGACATCAGATTGTAAGGTCCAGCCCCCACCAATGGGCTGAGTCACGGTCACCACTTGCACTAGAATAAACACTAAGCCTGCTTTGTGTTCCCATGCCCTTGCTCACACAAAGCACACCATTTTGTAAAATGGCATTCCCTTCCTGAATTAATTTTACATTGTCTATGTATTTCTTTGTACAACACCAAGAATATTCTTTTCTATCAAAATGATCATGGCTTGACCGGGTGAGGCCTGGGGAGCCAGCCTCACCCTCCCTCCCATCTGCCTCCTCGCCAGTCCACCCTCCAGCTCTGCAGGATTACGGGCCACTCAGCCATGTGGAGACCTGGCCTCCTTACTCCCATTCTTCCAACAGGCGGCCTGGACTCCTCTGAGCTCCTGGAAGGTGACCTTCATGGCCCCTGGCCACCACCTTTGTGCTGGGTGCCGGGGCAGGTGGAGAAGAGGATGCCCCATAAAGAGACAGATAAGTCACTGCACTCAATGTCCTTCCGCAGCAGCCTTGCGTATTCAGATAAGGACTTCTGGCTACGACCCAGACCTCTGCCCTCCCCCCCCCTTGCTTCCCATCCACCCCTCACCAGTACACATGCACAAACTCACAGATCCAAGGGCCTTACGGTTTTCTGACAGCCCAGCAGGCCTGACCCTGCTGCCTCTGAGCCCCTGGTACAGCAGGAATGCAGCCCCAACCCGATGGTGAGTAGTAAACGGAGGGACCCCACAGTCCCTTCCTCAGGCCTCAGCTCACCTCTGAGGCCATGGCAGGGCCCAGCAATGTTCAGTTCCTGGGTAGCAGTAAGTCCTTAGGCACAGCCCAGACCTCAGGCACGCAACAGAAACAAATTCGGGAGACAAAATCCAGTCCTGAACACCTGTGGGCAAGGAAGAACTCTGGGAAATTTTGGACAAGAACCAGGTGTCCTCAGCCAGGTATCCCCATGGGCACAGGCAGTATCTCACCGACATCTCAGAGCCCAGGGACTGTGGATGTCTCCTCCTGCGGTCAGGCTCCACTGCCTTTGCTGTGGTCCCCCAGATCTGCCCCCACTGTCTTCTTCAGCTTTGGCTCCTTCCTACTCTATCAGCCCTCCCCAAAGTTCTCTCCTGTCTTTTTTTTTTTTTTTTAGGATATTCTCTCCCATCTCTCTCCCTCCCCTTCTCTCATTTCTTTTCTGTTCCTTTCTCCCTTCCTCTACCTCCCTTCCTTCCCCTCTCTGTTTGTTTGTTTGACAGAGTTTCCCTGTGTAATGGCCCTGACTATCCTTGAACTTGTTCTGTAGACCAGGCTGGCCTCAAACTCACAGAGATCTGTCTGCTTCTGCTTCTCAAGGGCTGAGATAAAAGGTGTGCACCACCACTGCCTAGCATCCCTCTCTCTTATCTCTGCACCCTCTCTCTCTCATCTCTCCTTCCTCTCCCTCTCATCTCTTCCTCTCCTTCCTCTTCCTCCTCTCAATGTCTCTCCTTCCTCTTTATCTCCCTCATCTCTTTATCTCTCTATCTCTCAGCAGGGTGTTCTGTATCCCAGGCTGTCCTGGACACACTCAGTAGGTCGTCCTTGAATCTCAGCTGCTTCCCCTTCCCAAATGTCATGATCACAGGCATGCATTGCCACCCCAGGTTTATCCAGCACTGGAGATGGAACCCATGTCCCCAGTGCTCCTTCTCCTGACTCCAACAGGGCATCATTTCCCTGCCCTGAGCACCTTGAATCCACATCCACGAAACAACCCACAGGCCAGTGATATTCTCCACACCTTGGAGTTACATCTAGATGGAAAACTCTTGGTCCTAGAGACTCTGACACATTGGGTTCTGAAGATGCTGGCGAAGGGAGACATCAAGACAGGCTGCTGTGACCTGGGTCTTCAGGAGAAAGAGCAGGTCCTCTGAGCTCAGCTGGTGCAGGCCTGTTGCGGGAGGTCCTTCCGCCCCTCCAACCAATAGCTGCTGTGATACCAGCCCATTGGGGCATGGTCTCTCTACCTTTAAAAAAAGTGGCTATTTCCTCTGCTCGCTCTCTTCACTTCCTGCTCCGACAGAGACTAGACTCCCTTCCTGGTTGTGCAGATGGCTGTTGTCTGGGACGGTGATCTGTAAGTTTTCCCCTTTAAATAAATAACACCCTATTAATCATAACTCCAAACTGGTGTGGCATTGTTTGTGACTTACGCCTTCACAGGCCCTTCCAGCTGTGGCCTCCATTCAGGAATGGTCAATGTGCCACTCAGAGTGAGGCAGCCTTTCACTGCCCCCCGATCTGTACTTCCAGTGCGGGCTTCCACCTAGCAGAGGCAGAAGCCCTGGGCAGTGGCCCCTCTACCCAGAATGCACAGCGAGGCGCTCCCTTCTCTCCGATCTCCACTCTCAATCATCGCAGCTCCTCACAGATAAAAGCGCTGGTGATCTGTGGGCTGTTCATTTTTCTTTTTTCTTTCTTTCTCTTTTTTTTTAAAAAATAAGTTTTTTGACTTTTTATTTATTTTTTGTGTCTTTCACATCATGTGTCTCGATTCCATTCATTTCCCATCCCTTTGTATTTATCCTCTGCCACTGCAACCTCCCCAAAATAAGATAAAATAAAGGTTAAGAGGAAAAAAAAAAAGAGAAAATCTCATCATGGAAGCTGCAGTGTGACACAGTGAGTCACACAGTAAGCCCTTTTATCCATACATCTTTACTTGCAAGTATTCGTTGCCAAGAGCCATTGGTCTGGTTCAAGGCCTCTGGTTTTGCTACTCTACCAATGCTGGGCCCTCACTGGGACTCCTCTTGGATATCCTCGGGAGCTAAAAGAGCTTGATTATTTATTATAATCTAAGAGTTTTATCATTCTTTGGGCAGGGTCTCATTGTGTAGCCTTAGCTGGCCTGGAACTCGCTATGTAGACTCAGCAGTTACCACCAAACTCACAAAGATCCACCTGCCCCTCCTTAAATGCCAGGATTAAAAGCCTGGGCCACCATATCTGGCCAGATTCTACTTTTTAATAAAGCATCAGAAAGCTAAGATAAGCACATCCCTGGGCATATTTTGGCCAGGAAGCTCCTAATAGGTGACTTTGTCCAGTCTACATTACCCAAAGAGAAGTGTGCTGATAGTAGGATATGTCCAAGGCCTGTGAGACCTCTTGGGTTATTTTAAAGATAAATGGAAGACCGTTGTCACTTTGGAGTGATTTGGAGAGTTCATGGTGGGGGGAAATCTTCTTCCAAAACAGTCTTGGCAGCTTCTTGAGTCTTTGGTCTAGGCTGGCCAGGCCTCAGTGCACCCCGAGAACCCCGAGAAAGCATCAGCCAGGCGCTGAAGTCCCAGAAGGTATTATACGCCCTAAAGCGTGGCTATGGTAAAATCTAATTGCCAGTCTTCTGGGAATATTTCCTCTTTGTGCTGTGTGCTCAAGGTAATAGCTGGCCCCACCTCCTGGGTTACTACAGAGACGCAGAGGCATGCCCTGACAACTTCTGAGATTATCAATCTTAATCCCTTTCTTCCAGAGACACAAGTGACCAGAGCAGCTACTGCGTCTCTTCCCAGGTGACATGAGTCCTGAAATCCCTTAATAACTTTCCGTGGGTCTGCTTGGGGTAGCAGAATACTGTTTCCCTTGAACCAACAGCCATTTTTGATTAATCTGTATCTGTGTAGGTTGGCCTCAGCCATCTCCTTTGGCCCCTAGAGTGCAGCCTGCCCCGCCCCTAACATACACACACACACATGATAATGGAATTGCTTTGCTGGTGCCCTTTATGTACCTCACTGCTACCTGTGTGAGTGTTAGATAATATTTAAAGGCACACACTTCCAATGCCATATTTAACTGGAGGTCTTTTTCTGTCAAGAGCCTTCTCTCTTCCCTCATAACAGCATGAGCCCAAAGGGCTAGAGTGGTGTACTCCGAGGCACTGTACTCCACTGACTGATTCACCTTTTCCATTGCAATGCTCTTGTTAAAGGGACATGTTCATAGGGAGGGGGCTACTAAGGAAGGGGGACAGGAGAACACAGGTATACGAAGGAGATAAGGAGAGTGGTGGCAAGAAGGGGGTTTAAGAGAGGAGATGGATGGAAAGGTGTGACCTCATAAAGTAGCTCAGCTGTGGAATTAAATTTTATCTTTTATACATTTTTTTTTAAAAAAAAGACTTTTTATCCATTTTGTATATATGGGTGTTTTCCATGCATCTTGCACTACAAACATTCCTGATGCCCACAGGGCTCAGAAGAGGCAACCCCTAGAACCAGGGTTACAGATGGTTGTAAGCACCGGGCGGTGGTGGCGCATGCCTTTAATCCCAGCACTCAGGAGGCAGAGGCAGGGGGTCTTTGTGAGTTTGAGGCCAGGTTAGTCTAAAAAACGAGATCCAGGACAACCAGAGCTGTTATACAGCAAAACCTTGCCTTGAAAAACAAAACAGAACAGAACTCTTTTCTTTCGGCGGCATCGCTGTTAGTCTTGTCCGTGTGACACAAGCTGGAGTCACAGGTGAAGAGGGAGACTCAGCAGAGAAGATGTCTCCATCAGATTGCCTGTAAGCAGTGCTGCAGGGCCAGCAGTGGTGGCGCACGCCTTTAATCCCAGCACTCGGGAGGCAGAGGCAGGCAGATCTCTATGAGTTCGAGGCCAGCCTGGTCTACCAGAGCTAGTTCCAGGACAGGCTCCAAAGCTACAGAGAAACCCTGTCTTGAAAAGCAAACAAACAAACAAATTAAAAAAAAAAATACTTAGATTTTCCCAGTTACTAGACCATTTAAAAATTCCATTTATTCCTGGGCAGTGGTGATGCATGCCTTTAATCCCAGCACTTGGGAGGCAGAGGCAGGCAGATCTCTGTGAGTTTGAGGCTAGCCTGGTCTACAAGAGCTAGTTCCAGAACAGGAACCAAAAGCTATGGAGAAACCCTGGGGGGGGGGGGGAGCAGTGCTGCAGGGCATTCTCTTGATCAGTGGTAGAGAGGTTAGAGTGAAAGACACCCCCCCAGAGGACCTTCCCTCAGGAGAAGACCCCAGGACCCCCCAGGAACAGTCTGAAACCACAGGCTGCAATCAGCAAGAGGTTTATTGAGTATACACAGGTACCTGCGGGTAGCAAAGTCTCTTCAGAGGACTTGCACGCCCTCAGGCTGGGCAGGGGTCTTTTATATGGAAACGGGCAGTAGAAGCAGACATGCATGGTTACAGAGATCTCATTGGTCAGTTCGAATGTGATGGGTACATGTAGTTTTTCCTCTCCCAGCACAGATGTATGGCAACAGATATCCTGTTTTGCAGACATCCTATTTCACAGATATTCTGTTTTGTAGATAGGGGCCCTGACCTCACCCTGCACTTACATTTGTTTTTTTGTCAAAGCCTTGCAAAATGACATTACAGTAGCTAAGCTGGGGTCTTTCATAGGGGCAACTGCTCCTTTTGTGAACTGCTAATATTCTAAGTTTGGCCCATGTGCCGACTACAGGTATCCTGTTATCCTAAGCAAACGGGATATTCTCATGAGAACAGGCTAGCTGCAGGTCCTGAGGGGGTCCTGAGGGTCTCAAACAAACAGGATGTTCTCATGAGAGCCGGCTAGCTGCTGGTCCTGAAAATCTTTCAAACAAACAGGAAGTTCTCACGGGAGCATGCTAGCTGAAGATTCTGAGGGGGGTCTGTAGGGTCTTTCAAGAGGGCCCCGCCTACTATGGGCATTGCCATCCCTAGGTGTATGGCCCTGTGTTACAGAAGAAAGGCTGAGCAAGCCATGGTGAGCAAGCATATTTTACTGGGGTTCCTAACAGGAGTATGGATGAGGGGCTACATACAGGAGCAGGGGAGACTCAAAAACCAACTGCCCTACCGAAAGCCCACCCAACACGGTGACAACTCAAGAA